GTTTAGGAGAGAGAGAGAGAGAGACAGAGAGAGAGAGAGAGAGACAGAGAGAGAGAGAGACAGAGAGAGAGAGAGAGAGAGAGAGAGAGTACAGATAAACACGACCTCTTACTCTCTCATCATCATCATCATCATCATCATCATCATCATCATCATCATCATCATCGGTTAGCCGTGTTTAATAGACTTTAGTCGTGACTGGTTAAAGGATCATAGACCTTTAATTAGACTGGAGAAATATACAGTCTCTTAACTATCTTCTACTCTAAAGCATTGATTAACTGTACACTTAAGACTGGTAATGACTGGATCACGTATCACAAACCCCCCCCCAAAACACACCAAACTCTGACTGGAAGGGGACCAGTCTCTACGGTTCAGACTGGTGGGTTGAACAGTTAGTATAATATATATTGGGAACACATTGGCTGCTGAGGCTCTCCCAACAATCCACAACAACAACAATAACAACACAACATACAATCACCGTCATTATCACAACAGATAACAACCACAAATCACCAAAACTGCCCACACCCAACAACCACAACAACAACAATCACAGTACAACAACTACAATACTAAACAACCACAACAACTACAGCATCCAAAAACCACAACAAGAATAACAACACGACAATTACAATACAACAAAAACTACAACACCTCCTTCCTGGGTTGTAGCAGGGAATCAATTCTCACCATTTCTCCTCCCCTCTGTCTGCCTAAGGGGAGGTAAGGGAAAGTGAGGGGTGATGAGAGAATAAAGTGATTGGTGGGTGATTTTGGGGAACACTAGGTGAGGGGAGGTAAGAGGAGGTGAGGGGAAGTGAGAAAAGATGATAGGAGGTGAGAGAACGTGAGAAAAGATGAGTAGAAGTGAGGGGAAAAGTTGATCGGTGAGGGATTTCTAGAACCTTGAGGTGAGGGGAAACTGAGGTCAAGAGAGGGGATATGAGAGGGCTACTGAGTCATAACCTGAGGGGAGGATAAAGCCTGTGGGGACCTGAATTAAAGGGACAAAATAGGGGAGTTGAGGTGGTCTAGATTCATTACTTGAGGGGAGAAGATAGGGAAAAGGGGGGGCTTTAGGGCTATGAACCGAGGGGAGAAGAGAGAAGAGGTGTGAGAGGTACAGAGTTGAGATCACAAGGCAAGGGAGGTGAGGGGACAGGGAGAGGGGCAGGTGAGGGTAGAAGAGAGTACCTGAGGGGAAAATGAAGGGGAAAAACAAGATGAGAGGGAGATATTTACAGTTATTATATACTACAACTATTATTGTGAACACCTAATGCCGTTTTCTGTCCGTTTTCTTTGGTTGTGTTCAGAGTAACTATGGTAAAAGTGAGGAGTTCCTGCTCTTCGTGTCGGTGTTGGAGGCCACTATGATTGAGAAGCGGGTGAGTGACAAGCCCGTGTCCTTTGAGCTCTCCATCGGCAACGCTGGTAACTCCCTCGATGGCTGCTCCACCACCAGGCCCTCCAGCGACGAGGAGAGTGACGGAGATTCTGGTGAGTAACGGAGTGAAAGTATTGGTCATAATAGTCCCAAAGATTTATTTTAATGCGTTTATACTTTTCCCACTACTACTACTACTACTACTACTACTACTACTACTACTACTGCTACTACTACCTACTCCCCTACAGGTCCGGAGTCCGTGATCGCTGAGACCTCAATGTGGCAGTCAACGACGCCACCAGCCAAGCCCATGACCAACGACAAGGTGTATTACTTCCTGCCCTTCTGGGACGACAAGCCCTGCCTCTACGTCAGGTCGTTCTTCCAGGACCACAGACGACGACTCTACAACTCCAACGTCATTAATGCCATTGCGGCCAAGCTGGTGGGTGGGCTGTGGGTGGTGGGTGGGTTGTGGGTGGATGGTTGATGGGGTGGGTGGTGGGTGGGTTGTGAGTGGTGGATGGGTTGTGGGTGGGTGGTTGATGGGGCGGCTGGAGGGTAGGAATAGAGAGGAAGAGTGAGAAGGAGAGGGGGAGGAGGACAGGGCCTAGATGGGGAGAGGAGGGGAAAGGAAGGAAGAAGGAGAAGCGATGGGGAGGAGAGTTGATTGGGGAGATCAGAAGTTATATATAGGAAGGGGGGGATGGGGAGAGTAAGGGAAGGAAAGCCAAGGGAGAAGAAACAGAGGGAGAGCGAATGAAGGGGGGAAGTGAGACGCAAGGAAGGAACTAAAGAGGGAAGTAGAAAGGATAAGATAAGAGGCGAAGGGGAGAAAAAATATTATAGATGTGGATGAGATAATGACTGATAATTTATGGAAAAAATGAAAGATAAAAAAACAAGAATAAGGATGTGATATAATAGAGAAAACATCAAGCTTAGATGAAGATGAGAGAAAGAGAGAGAGAGAGAGAGAGAGAGAGAGAGAGAGTCCCTACCTGTGGATTTCCAGGTCATTCTCTCTCTCTCTCTCTCTCTCTCTCGTCAGCACCCCTCCTCCACTAAGAGACGGATCTACAGTTCTCTTGCCCCCTCACACACACACAGATTGGTTTTGAATGAACGGCTTCACCCGGATGGACGCACTGTGTCTGCCAATCTGAGCCCTGAATCTCGAATCTAACCGAAAATTTCACATTAAATATTAGTTGATTAGGTTAGGTTAGGTTTGGGTTAAGTTCTGCAGTTAGATTAAGCACACACACACACACACACACACACACACACACACACACACACACACACGTCCTCATCAGCCTCACCACCAATGAGAGGTTTATACATAATCATACCAACTCTTGCTGCCCATTCAGTCCTCACTCCGAACCATACAGGAAATCATACATCAGATACATGTATATCATTGGAATCGCACTGTGTATTTTGAGCGTAGTCGTCAGTCCTCTCCAGCACTCCTTAGGTTACATTGTTCTTGTTTCTGTGTTGTATCTCCAGCAGGAGGCTTCTGTGTTATGATCTGTGTGGTATTACATAACTTCTTCAGTTACATAGATGTATATCCACCTTCCTCCTTCCCTTGTGTATGCCTGCAGGAGGGGTGTCTGTAGAGGGTGTTTTCACCAACAGGAGTAACACGCCTCTGTATATCTTCCTTTTTTTCGTCCTTCCTGTTACTATCATACCTTCTCCTTCTTCCACCTGCAGGAGGAGGGTCTGTCGGAGGTGTTGTCGCTGCTGGAGGAGGAGGACGGGAGTCCTGAGCGTCGCCTGAAGGAGGTGATGGAGGAGCTGATGACCGGGTGTGGCCACTACCTCAGCCTGGCCAGGGCTTACACCTCCAACGCCTCCGGGGCCAGGACCAAGCTGGACAAGGAGAGGATGCGACTTTGTCAGAAGGAGATCGTGAGTGACCTTCCTTGACCTTGTGACCTGACCCTTTGATATTTAGTGATCATGAGTGACCTGTGCTGACCCAGTGCCTAGAGTGATCATGACCCTCTTTGACTTGACTTTAGCTGACCCTGTTATTGTTTGAGTGATCATGAGTGACCCTGTAAGTGACCTAGTGACATGGACTGACCCTGTATTTGTTAGTTCGTGAATAGTTTTGTGTGACCTCGGTATGTTCTTAACAGTAACTTGGCTTTACTCTCCTGTGTTGACAGTGACCACATTTGACCTTTTATGTTTCAATGATTTGATTTTATATTTTGCCGAAGAGATCATGAGTGTGTGACCTTGTAACTTGACCTATTTCTTTGTTGACAGAGAGGTCAAGTTGGGCTCTTTTTTACTTAGATAATTGCTTAACTGTGGTTAGGTGACATTTTTGTGCTAATAAAAGTGACCTCTAGTAACCTCGTGACGATGACTATGACCTGGTGTGACAATGTATCGTCAGGGAGGTTTTGGGTGACTTCGCTCTACTGAATATCTGTGACGCTTGGAATGTTATCATAAGTCACTCGGATAATGGTTTATATTGTGTGGTACGTGAACTTTGCTGCTCTCTCTGTCTCTCTGTCTCTCTCTCTCTCTCTCTCTCTCTCTCTCTCTCTCTCTCTCTCTCTCTCTCTCTCTCTCACCTGTATGACGCCCCAACAGGACCACTTGGGCAGCTCGGCGCGTCACACCAAGGCGCTGGTCACTCGCCACAGCCTGAGGGAGCGATACAAGACAGCCCACTCCTACCTGGTCAAGCTCAGGGGCCTGATCGAAGACGTAAGTAACTCATACTGTTCACTATCCCTACACCTGCGTCAGCTAGCTTCATGAATGCTTATCTCAGACATTATTGTGTTCGTTGACCAGCCGCACTAACGCTGCTTACTCTTATTTGGTTATTTTTGTTGTTGTTTTGTTTCTTCTCCTGGGAAACATTTGTAGTGTGACAGTATAAGACTTTAAGGTTACGAGAAAATAAGACTCGTATCAAACATACAGAATCTGGTTGTGTTTATTTACAGCACCAGAATCTTAAGAAAGTTTTAATTCAACATTCTTCCTTCTCTCCTTCCCTCATTCCTACATCCTCCTCTCCTTCCCTCGCCCACAGCCTCAGCACAGCCTGCCCGACGTGTTCCTGTGGATGATCAGTGGGGGGAAGAGGGTGGCCTACCAGCGTCTACCAGCCAGGTGTCTCCTCTACTCCCCTGTCGACGAGGAGCGAGGCAAGCATTGTGGCGTCACCCAGACTGTCTTCCTCAAGGTGGGTTCCTGTCTCCTTCAAGGTGGGATCCTCTCTCCATCGAGGAATAAATTATTATTATCTTCCGTATAACGATAAAAGAAGGATATATTACCCCATGATACTAAAAAAATATTTATTAGTCTAATATAACAATTATATTCTCTTTTGTAACAGCTACCAGGGCGTAAGTCTAGTGGACCCGGAGGCTGGTCGATCCAGGCGAAGCTTAACGTGTACATGTGGCTGGGACTGATGAAGCACAAGAAGAATCTGGTCCCTGGCATCCCCAAGGGCTACGAGCTGAGTTACGAGATACGTAACATAGAACGAAGCCTCACCCTACCACCTGTCTCCCTACACTACACTCAGAAGCAGGTCAGTCAGTGGGGGTAGTGGCTGCTGAGTTAGGGGCATCTCGATATAAGAGACGCTAGACGGTACCAGGGCATTGTATATCAGGTCAAAGGTCACCTAAGGGTTCTAGGTTAGGGTTATCTTAGATCAAAGGTCACTGGAGGGTATTAAGACAGGGGTATCTCTCGTCGGGGAGTCACTTTAGATTTCCAGGTCATATGACGTAGAGATCAAAGGTTGCGTCATATACAGTATATATGTGAAATAAAGAACACAGATGAATATATTTGAAAAGTAGGTAAACAAAGGTGGCATACTCGTTGACTTTACTGAAAGGCATAGATACAGTTCAAATATAAGGGATATATAAAGTATTAGAATATCTGAAGCACAGATATACCTGTAGATATGCGTGAAAAGTATCTGAACAATATTATTAGAAATTTTTATACCCGAAGAAGTGTTGTTGACATATGAGGGAAATATACTACTGACTCGTGTGTTCCTCCAGACGTTCCAGCTGAGGGCCCACATGTACCAGGCCCGCTCCCTCATCGCCTCTGACAACTCCGGCCTCTCCGACCCCTTCGCCAGAGTCATCATTGGTGAACACTGCCGCATCACACAGGTAAGAGACTAGGTGTGACATAGAACAATTTAGGGACAGGTAGCTACAGGTATGATAGTTGTGACCTGAATTTACCTAAATCACCTAAACTTACTTAAATCCACCCAAGTCCACCTCGACCCACCTACACTTCCCTAAATCCTTCTACATGAACTTATTTAAATTCACCTAAATTCACCTAAGCTCACCTGGCTCCTCCTCCAGGTGATCGACGAGACCTTAAGTCCAACCTGGGATGAGATGCTGGTGCTGGACGACATCTTAGTGTACGGCACCAAGGAGGAGATCAAGGAGGAGCCGCCCATGGTGGTCATCGAGATCTTCGACCAAGACAACGTGGTAAATCATTAGGGGCAAGATAGTGGTATGTTACGGTGATGAGAGAGGGGGAAGATGAAGAGGTGGAGAGTCTGGATGTATTATTGTGAATAGTTGTATATCGCAGATAGTTGTATGTTGTTGATAGTTGTGTTTGTGTGTTTACGAGGGATGGGTTATGAATACTTGTTTACTGTATTTGTTTGTTGATAATTGCAAGTTCCACTATGTTTTTGTTTTTTGTTTTTGTTCAGGTAGTTATTTGTTCTTTTGGATCTTTAGGGTTGTTGGATATGTTTGGTGGTAATAATGTGTTGTCTTGGGTGATGAATTGTTCCTTAGTCTTCATAATTATTGAAGATGTTTCCCCTTCTCGTGGTTATATGGACTAAGTTCTCAAAGGAAATTAACGTATCTACCACTTAACCTCCTCACTCGGTCTTTCTCTCTTTCTTTACTTTCTTTATATTTTTATCTCCTGTTATCTCTCTCTGTCTTTTTTCTCGTTATCTATTTCTTTCCTTATCTCTTTCCTTATCTCTTGTTATCTCTCTTTATCTTCATCTCTCTCTCTCCCTCTCTCTCTCTCTCATCATCTCTCCCTCCTCCTCCTCCACAGGGTAAGTCAGAGTTCATAGGTCGAACCCTGGCGCGGCCCCATGTCAAGCTCAGAGAGGAGCTGTACGAGCGTCCACACCTGGAATGGCACGACCTCTTCCGCGGTACCGATCACGCAGGGGAACTCCTCGCTACCTTTGAGCTCCTTCAGGTGAGACAAAAAAACCCGTGTTATTATTACAAAACTTATTACAGGTGAGTTTTCGGCTATAGTTCATCTTTCTATGTATTTCCCAAGATTATATATTGTATACATATCTAAATAGCATCCCTTTTCTAACTTTTATTGAAATGAGACAGTTTATAGCTTTCCCATTCTCTTTTCGGCTTGTATACAGTATCCTTCCCAAGCTTAAGATATGTTAGTTTATCCTACTTATAATCCTACGTGGAGTAAGGATGAGTTGCCAATCTTTAAATCCTTTCCTAGACAAAAATACATTGTTTACATTGTTTATATCCTATTCAAGAGTCCTACACGAGCTTCCGGATGTTGTGATTTATAGTTTCAGGATGGTGAGGAGGGCGGGGACGTGGTACCGGTGCCCCAAGCTAAGGAACACCACGGAGGCGACGCAGGCCCCATCCTACCAGTACCCAGAGGCATCAGACCTACCCTGGCCAAGTACAGGCTGGAGGTAAGGAGCCGTCTGTGTAGGGGGAGACGAGGGGCGATAATGATAAGGAATAGAAGGGAGGAGAAGACACATAAAGGAAGAAGAGAAGAGAAGGGGGGAAAGGAGAGGGAGAAAGAAGGAAGGAGAGAAGACTGGGGGAAGAAGAAAAGAAGGGAGGTACGAGAAGGAGAGTTGGAAGGAAGGAAAAGAGAATGGGAGGAGGGAAGGTGATGAGAGGGAGGGAAACAACAGGAGAGGAGGAAGATGAGGATAAGAAGGAAGAAAAAAGAAGGAAAGAAGGATGAAAAGAAATCAGAGAATGGATAAATGATGAGAAGACACCTGTATCTCCCCCCTGTCTCACAGGTGTTGGAAAACGAGAGAATAGAAGATAAATATATAGTGAAACCTCTATTTAACGAACAAAATGGAGAAAGTCAATTATATCGAGGGTCTATTAGATGTTAACACTCCACATAACGGATGGAGGTTTCACTGTAGACCAAAAACAAAGGGACAAACACCTGTATCTCTCCCTTTCCCTTACAGGTATTGTTTTGGGGGTTACGTGACCTCAAGAGGATCCACCTGTTGACCGTAGATCGACCCCGGGTAGACGTGGAGGTGGCGGGTCACATCATCCAGTCAGCTGTCTTGATCTCCGCCCGCAAGAACCCGAATTTCACCAACCCCGTCAAGTACATCGACCTGGTGAGACACACACGTGAGATATTTGTTGACCTGGTGAGAGAGAGAGAGAGAGAGAGAGAGGGGAGAGAGTGAGAGAGAGAGAGATTGGTTTGATATGGAGTTAGATAGATAGATAGATTCTGGCTTATGTATTACCGTGATAAAAGGGAAAGAGATATTGGCGTTGAGCGAGGCAGAGAGAGATATATATTTATTGACTTGGTGAGAGATATAGATAAAAATATTTGATTCCTTTGTGAGAGAGACATAGAACGAATTTTGTTGGCTTAGTGAGAGAGAGAGAGAGAGAGAGAGAGAGAGAGAGAGAGAGAGAGAGAGAGAAGTTTATACCCTCCACACCTTACATCTCCTGACGGTGGTTGTTGTTCTTCCTTCTTCAGGAATTGCCGGAGCAGGAGCTGTACTGTCCACCCATCACCATACGGGTAGTGGACTGTCGCAGCTTCGGCAGATTCACGCTGGTGGGAACCCACATCATATCTAGCCTTCACCGCTACATGTGGACACCAGTCACCAAGAGGGACAGGGAGGCTACTCTGAGGAACAGCCTGGCGCAGCAGCTACAGTTGGGTAGGTGGTGAAGGACGAGGAGGAGGAGAGAGGAGAAAGAAAATAAACCAAAAGGGTACAAAAGACTGCCTTGAGGAACACCTTGACGAGGCAATCACAAGGTAAAAGGCTAGAAGAGGTGGTAATGAGGAGGAGGATGGAGATAGAGGGAGAACAGAATAAGGGAATAGGAAAAAGGAGAAGAAAATGGGAATGAGAAAGATAGGAAAACCAAAGAAGGTAAAAAATGACACCTTGAGGAACTCCCCGGCGCAGAATAGGTAGAAGAATATGTTGTGAGGAGGAAAATGGAGAAGAATTGGGGAAAAGGAGAAAGTAGGAAAGGAATTGAGGTGCGATAAGAGAAGAGGGAGGAAGAGGTAGGAATAGGAGGGTTAAGAGAGTAAAATCACAAATGGGGGGGGGAAGGGGCGGGGAAGAAAAGATGCAAGGTGACACACGGAGATGAAAACATACTAATACAAATTAAAATAAATAATGATTAGAGGAAAACGAAAGAATAAAAAGACAAAGAGACAAGAGAAAAATATTAAATAAATAAGAATAAAAAAAAAGTAATAGTAATAATAATGATCAAAATTCGCCCCACACACTTACAGAGCACCAAGTTAACACACGTCTTCCTTACCTCTTCCCTCCTCCAACATCTAATTCACCTTCAGGTATGGAAGACAACGGCGTCCCCAACAACACTAACTCCCTCGTGCCCAACAACGTCCACGGAGGGCACGTAGGAATTCCAGGAGGAGGAGGAGGAGGCCGCGTCATATACAGGAAGGAGACGGAGCGAAGTCCTCTCCTGCAGAAGGACACCATTATCACCATCGATTATGTGGGTGTATGGCCAGTCGTTCCTTTGGTTTGATTATACAATTTTCAGTTTTTTGTTTTGATTTTTTGCCCCATTGCTTCGCTTTTGTTGGTGGCGTGTTTTATTACGAGTTTTTTTTATCTTGTTTGATATTTGTTTTTGCCCTAAATATAAAACAAACCAATTGCCTATAAAAGAAAAATAAATTCCTCTAAAATTTAAACCCTATTTATACAAGATGCTTTTCAAATCCATATGGACTCTTAAACTTGAATTACTTTGTCTGTCCGTCTGATAAAAACAAATTTGATGAAGTTTTAACACAATGACAACACAATTTCCTTTAGCTTTCAACATAACCACCATCTTTTCTATACAGTCCCAATGAGTTAAACGCGGCAGGATAACACCGTACACTTGTTGCCATATGTGATTGACTTTACCATATCCCGCAGCGTTGATTTGGTCTTGTAGCCTGTATGGTGGCTGTGTTGAAAGCTAGAAATATTTGCTGTATTGATGGTAAAATTTGATTATATTTGCCTCACATATGCCATTTAGAGATTCTTTTCACAGTTTCTCTATATATCTATCTATCTATCTATCAACTCCTCAGTGCATGTTGCTTGCTGCCCAAAATTGGCTAAAATATGAATGTATTAAACGCATCTATATTTTTTTATCCGTGGAATATTTGTATTTTATTTTTTCACCTGAAGTAATTTTTTATTATTTTTATTTTGTATTTCGTTTATTATTATTATTATTATTATTATTATTATTATTATTATTATTATTATTATTATTATTATTATTATTATTATTATTATTATTATTATTATTATTATGACAATATTAATTACTCGCTTCAATATTTTCAGAATCATTAAACTTTACATACACACTCTCTATGTTTATTAATGTTCAACTGTGATTGGTTGTGGGACTTCACTTCTAATTGGTGGTGAAAATTTTCATCGTTTTTGGGTTGTGTCTGGTCTTAATGGTCATTGGTCTTACCCACTAAACTCTGATTGGTTGTGGCTGCTTTGATTCTCATTCGTTGTGGATGCTTGCTAAATTCTAATTGGTTATGATTAAAAAAAAAATTGCAGCTTGGAATTGAATGAAATTATCCTAAACAATAAACACAACTAAACATGTGTGTATAAACGCTTGTGTGTTTTATTATATATTATTAAATATAAAACAGTTTATCCCTGGCAGTTTTGTTTTTAAACGCTTTACGAGTTTGTTTTAATACTGCTACTAATAATTAAATGCTTGAATATAAACACTAAATGTGAGCAAGGTCTCTCTCTCTCTCTCTCTCTCTCTCTCTCTCTCTCTCTCTGTTCCTTTTTACTTTCCTCTATGTTTTCTATCTATCTATCTATCTTTCTCCATATTTATCTACCTATCTATCTATTTATCTACCTATCTGTCTATTTATCTATCTACCGTATATATAACCCTCCATTCTTCTCCCCCTCCCATTCTCCTTCTCCTTCCTTCCTTCCTTCCTTCTCACCTTCCCACCTTCCTTCTTCCTTCCCCACTCTCTCTTTCTCCTCTCTCTCTCCCCCCATCCCTCCTTTACTCATTATCTCCTACCCTCCCTCAGGGCTCCGGGGCGGTCTCCAAGCTGGTGGCGGTGACCAAGAAGGAGAAGTCGGAGGCCAACAAGAGGAGAAAACAGAGCCTGGATTTTGAGGAGGAGGATGAGGAGAACAGAGACTGGTGGACCAAGTACTTCGCGTCTCTGGAGGCCGTGGCTCTGGTCAGTCTCCTGTGGTCGTGTTTAATACTGATGTCAATTTTAGATCTAATTCTAAATCTAAATTCTAATTCTAAATAATATTCTAATTTTAAATTGAAATTCTAATTCTAAATAATATTCTAATTCTAATATCTAATAGTGAATTTAGTTATATCTAGCAATATAATCTAAATCTTAGGACTAATTTTATTTTAACAATTTTAATTTAAAAATCTAAAAATTTTAATTTTAATGTTATGAAACTATCGAATTCTAATCTAATTTTAATTCTAATTCTAATTCTCAATCTAGTTTCTCAGCGTAATGTTTTAATTTCAGGTTAGGTTAGGTTAGGTTAGGTTAGGTTAGGTTAGAATAATATCAGTGGTTCTCAACCTGGGGGCCATGGCCCCCAAGGGAGCCACGGCAAGAATTTAGGGGAGCCACAGCGAGCTGTTATAAATTGTACGTTTCCAAGTAATGTTGGGAATCTGAATTAAACAAAACTTGAATTACGTATTTTAACTTGGCAGAAGAGAATTTTCATTCTTTTTTTGTCATTTTGTTTAATCATAACGACAATACAATTTTAATATTTACAAACTCTGGTGCTATTTTTTTTTTTTTTTTTTTACGGATTATTTAAGATTTCACAGGTCCAGTCCCTGTCTGTGTGACAGGCGCTGGACCGAGCTGATGAACTGACTTGTTCAGTACGTGTCCGTGTGTCATCCCTTTGCAAGTGGTGATAGGAGTATCATAGGACCGAATGATCTCAGTCTGGCCTGGGATACCATCACGAGAACAGTGGAGTGTATTGTCTCTGAACCATATATTGTGTCTGAGCTTGACTCAAGCATAAAATACTCCGTAATTGGTGTTACTTATTTTGTTTCATAATTCATGTGGTCGCTACTTTACGTGGGTGAACTATTTGTACACTTCCTTTATTAATTATTTCCTTATTTATTGGTGCCATTGTTGTTTATACTCATTCTTTACTTATATAATCCTACCATTTTTAGTGCTAAATTGGTATGACTCACTATTCTTCTCATTCTTCCAAGTTGGGCAGTGCTTGTCAAAGGAGGCGTGTTCTTGCTTACAGGAAGTACACTTCAGCTTGCTAGCTTGAGTGTGAATGTTTACGTGTGTGCATGTTTGTGTATGACTGTATGTGTGCTTTATGTGTGGGTGCATGGCGTGTTATGTATGTGAATGTGTGTGTGTGTTTGCCATTCTAACTCTTGTCCTATTTATCTGTCCTTCTTTATCATTCTTTAGTCTTTATCACTTGTCTGTTTGTCTGTTCTGGGAGAAAAATGAAGGAGGTCACGAGGATGTTGAAAATTCCTCAAGGGGGGAATGTTGAGAGCCACTGGGTTAGGTGATGGCTCAGCTTAACAACGACCATCATTCACCCTTCATCTTACACCAAGAAACATTCATTCTACCCCTCAACATCCATCACATTCAACATTCAATGAAAACTTAATATTCCTTAAAAATGTAAGTCTTTCAACATTCTTTTACTCATTCAACATTCACTGGACATTCTACATTCATTCAGCATTATTTTTACATTGAACATTTTTTCTACATTATTTTCCCATTCAACATTCATCACACATTCAACTTTGACCGTTAATAGACCATTCATCTTGTGGTAATGGTTCCCGCTTATTCATGGAGTCCACACGGGGTATTGAGCTGATGTAAATAATACCTTTGTTCATCATGCATAGTGTAGTGTGTTAGCGATGGAGGGGTATTGTAATGATGCTCTCTCTCTCTCTCTCTCTCTCTCTCTCTCTCTCTCTCTCTCTCTCTCTCTCTCTCTCAGCGGTCACAAAAGGGATGTGAGAGAAACTAATTTACAGCCTCAAGAGAGAAATTCTGACGCGACATAAATACAGAAAACGTAATATAGACTATTTTTGGGTGTCCTCTCTTCTCTTCTCTTCTCTTCTCTTCTCTTCTCTTCTCTTCTCCCTGTTGCTTAAGCTTATCTCTGTTCTTTTTTCAATTCCCCCCATTGTTTCCCTTGCATATATTCACTTCCTTTTCATTCTCCTGTTCATCTAATTTTTCTACTTTTTTTACTTCCTTCCTTCAAACAATAACAAGAAAATAGGAACGAGAGAGGAGTTAGTTTCCTCCTATTCGCTTTTGTCCCCTTCTTTCTTCCCTTCATCGTTCGTTCGTTCGTTCGTTCGTTCGCTCGCTCATGCCGTTCTTCCAACAATAACAAGGATATCGGAACAAGAGGGAGAGTAGTATGAGAAATAGGATATCAGTTTAATTGTTCATGTTCCCCTTCTTCTTCTTCTTCGTCTTCTTCTCTCTCTCTATCTTTCTCTTTCTCTTTCATTCTAGAAGGAAGGGACGAAGTGTTAACCCTGACATATTTCTTCCTTGGTAATATCTCCTCCTTTTCTCTTGTGTCCTCCTCTTTTCTTCTGACTACCCGAAAACACCAAACGCTAGGAAGAGAGGAGGTGTGACCAAGCTTATTAACACTACATCATCATTTTTCATGCTCACGCCTCCTCCTCCTCCTCCTCCTCCTCCTCCTTCACGTCTTCTTTCTCCCTGACAGCAACAACAGGAGGACAGGAATGCGAGGGAGAGAGGAGACAACGCTGAAGGGGAACAGAATCAACACCAGGACGGACAGAAGGGAGACCAGAACCAGGACAGGAAGAAGCACAACACCTTCAAGGCCACGTCGACGGCGGCTAAACTGGCGGCCAGATTGAGTCCCAAGACCCAGAGGAGGAAACACAAGGCCAACATCGCTGTCGTCAAGGTACAAATCTTACTTTGACCTATTTTGACCTCATCTTAACCTGCCTTGACCTACCATAACTTACTCTGACCTATTTTGATGTACCTTGACGTAGTAAGACTTACTCTGACCTACCGACATCCTCAAGGTGAACTCTCCCACCTAACCTATCCTATGTTGACCTGCCTTCGCCTTCCATCACTTACTTTGACCGTCATGACTTGCTTTTGACCTATTTTAACCTTCTATGGCCTACTTTGACCTGTCTTGACATGACATAACCTACCTTGACCTAGTTTGAACCTACCTAGACCAACCCTAACTTGCCTTGACATCTCGTGAGCTCCCTGGACTTAGTATAAAGTTACCCTGACCTGCTTTAACATATCATGACCTCCGGCAGGTGATCCCCGGGGAGCTGGAGACAGAATTCGGCGGCTTCAGGGAGTGGCTACACACCTTCGAGCTCTACCGCGGCAAGAAGACTGGGGACGAATTGGAGGACGAGGGTCGCGTCGTGGGCAAGTTTAAGGTAAGTCGTAGGCAAGGGAAGGGTAAGTCATGGGGTAAGGGAAGGGTAAGTCATGGGGTAAGGGAAGGGTAAGTCATGGGGTAAGAGAAGGGTAAGTCATGGGTAAGGGAAGGGTAAGTCATGGGTAAGGGAAGGGTAAGTCGTAGGCAGGTTTAATATTACCTTTCCACAACCAGTATTTAGTCTCAACCTCACGACAATCTCTCCCACGACCAGCTAGTGAGTGACGTTATTCCTCCTGCAGGGGTCGCTGAAGCTGTACCGCTGGCCGCTACCGAAAGACATCGACGACACCACCATCACGGGAGGCGACCCCCAGTACGGCTTCTTCCAGGTGAGTCACTCGTTCAAGGAGTCTCGGCCAGGTAAACCACCAAACATCTACCACTTGAAGATCTTACATTACAAACCTTCTTATAATATTGAAGGAAAAATTTGTTTCTTATCCTCAGCCTGTATCGATTCAAGTTAAAGCTCGGGACATACACTCGGTGGGCCGGGGAGAGGGTTCAGGGGTGACATAGAGTGCTAGAACCAGTTAAAATGGGATTCATTTTTATATAAGGGATTAAGGACGATCTGGGTCTCACTAGGAGTATATGTTCCTGGCTGACGGTACACTGTGCATATCCCATCTTTCAATGACTCCTGTTTGACGATTCTTTTTCTCCGTAGATTTAGAGAGATTGATCTATTTACCTGTTTGTTTGTTATCTACTCTACGACACCTCTTAACACAACTCTTTGTTATGTTTTAATAACCTTTCTTCTGGTGTCTGTTCCATGCACATTCGAAGGCACCTAAGCTGATCATGGAGTCACAGGTTAACCACAGTGTTTAGGAATATCCTTAACCAGTTTTTTGGACCAAGTTGCAAGTATTTGCTTTTTGGTGTGTCGGCTTATGACGAGCGACCAGTAGCTTAGCTTGTCGCGAGTAGCACACCAGTGTTCTCGGGACAACGCTCAGTCTGCGCATGCCCAGTGTTCACACCAGCCATCACCTTAGCTTACTGAGCTCTTTTGTTTGTTCATATTTTTTATGTGTTTATACGATATGTCCCAAAATTGTATAATTAATTTTAGCAAAATTTTGCACACTAGTTGAACAGTTGCCTCCATCTGGATATTACAGTAACCAAGGCGGAGCTCACAACAGAGGGTCAGAAGGTCGTCAATAGGATCCCTTTTGACACAGGTCTGTCCTCAACTCAGTAATTAAATTTTCCCTTATGGAGTGAGTCAGGACTGGTGTTCCTAAGACTGACTTACTTGGGTGGAAAGTACTGTAGATAGACAAGAGCGAGGTCATGGTGTTGTCTGCCGTGTGAACACAACTTCGAAGCGTAACTAAGACTGGTGGCGGATGACCCAGCTCTTGTCAGGTTGTGGTCCAGCGGCGTGTGTGTGTGTGTGTGTAGGCATGGTTGGTTACCTTATGTCCCTGGGTGTACCCTTAACCATACCTGTGGTCCACTAGACGATGTTCCTCCCTCTACCTCCACCTGAACCTACCTGGCGGGGAGAGATGGGGAGATGCTGACGATATCCTCTTGTTCTCTTTCAACAGAACAAATTATCATTATAACAAACCACCATTAATATACGTAAAATGAATGATTCCTGTGGGCATTATCCATATCTCCATCTTGCTCACACGCTTTAATCATCTTCCCTCCCTCCCTCCCTCCCTCCCTCGCTACCACAGGACCTGCTTACCTCATACAACCACACCTCGCTAGCTCTCCCTCCCTGACCTCTGAGACTCTGGTCGTCTGCTAAGTCGTGACCAGTATGTACAGTACGTGTGTCTGTGTCCGTGATACACCATTGACCTCCTTCAGCTCCCTGGCACTGTTACCTGTACCTCCTCAGCTATGCCACGGTTCCCTGTACTTCCTCCAATTGTCTCAGTGTTCCCTGTACCTCCAGCTGCGCGTCACTGTTCCATGTATTTTCTCCATCTGCGTCACTGTTCCATGTATCTTCTCCATCTGCGTCACTGTTCCATGTACACCCGTCAGCTGCGCGTCATTGTTCCCCGCACCCCTTGACTCTGATCTGCCTGGTACACTGTGTAGTCACCAGACTGACCTCTGTGTTGTAGTGCCACACCTGATGGCTCTCTCTCTCTCTCTCTCTCTCTCTCTCTCTCTCTCTCTCTCTCTCTCTCTCTCTCTCTCTCTCTCTCTCTCTCTCTCTCTCTCATTAAACGTGTAATACTGCGTCATAGTTCTCAGTGAATCAATTTATCTCTCTCTCTCTCTCTCTCTCTCTCTCTCTGTACAATAGGATAAATAATTTACGTTAGTTGGTGGCGTCCTTTCCGTACTTCAAGGTAGTGTAGTGTAGATATGTATGCTCGTGAGTGTGGTAGATATAACCAGCTCTGTGTGTATAACTACCAGTTGTGTCTCTTTTCTATACTCGTATGTATGTTTGGGTGTGTCTGTGTGGAGTTAGAGTTAGATCTAGCAGCATGTGTGTGTGCCTCAGTTAAGGTTACCAGGCTATCAAAGGTTAAGATTCCCTCAATAAACTGAACTCTCCCCTCCCCCCCGCCTCTCGTTCTTGCTGCCTATCGCTACTTTGTCTTCACTAGTTGACCGTGCAAGAAAAACTAAGCTAAATTATATCCCAAAAACTCTTAAAAACTAAATCTTGATCAACTTAGCTTTTTTTTATTAAATTATTTAATCTCATCTATAAGATTAAGATATATTTAGACCGTTAACTATTTTAAACCTGACATAAACAAGCAAGTTGAAAATCTATATAGTTTGCCCTTGAGTAAAACCTTGCACTTTCATTTTCTATGTTAAATTTATTTTCCCCGTTCTTCGTTGTGATATGTTAACTTGTTTATCTTATTTCCTTTCTACATTCCAGTTATTCTGATATTCGTAAATTATCCATAGAATTATTTCACTTGTATTTTTTGAGTCTTATTACGATACCCACCAGTGCAGAAATGTTTATTGTATTATGTTTAAGTTTAAGTTTCTCACTCGTAAATCATTAACAGCTAAATAATATTCCTAAATTCGGTCCCCACTTGTCCATCAGCAGCCGTAAACCTGCCCCTCCTCCTTCACCATCAACCTGAAGAGACAGTTTAGTAGTGTCTTGTAGCGACTCTGACCATGGCTGGGTAGTGCCACATCACCCTCTCCGCAGATGTGAATTAATTTACCTTTGATGCTGATCGTATCGCCTTAAACTAACAGACATTAACCTCATTCACGCCCAAGATAAGGAAGAGGTATAATTAAATATTCAGTAGGGATTTTTCTTATGTTTATCCTTTTATTATAACTTATTTTTTAATCCCAACATGATGACGTGAGTACATCCTGGCTTCTTCCTCCCTCAAAAGGTTTCTCAGTCTACATTAGAACGAGTTTTGCTTTAAATAAGAAAGATTTCCACCCTTCTCTACTATGACTTGTTCTTTACCATCCCCCCAACAAAAAAATAAATAAAATAAAATAAAATAAAAGCTTTCGGTGTTTTACCTCAGATATGAAGACCTCCAGTTGTCTCCACTAGGGCATGACCCCCTCCCCTCCCCTCCCTTCTCACCTACAACAGGGAGCTTTTGATGTGACTTTATTACGCTCTGGCCTTTATACCTGTACGACCTCAAAGCTTTCAATGTTGATTTAGCAAAGAACTTTTGTCTCATGTCTCAAGGACGACCCCCTCCCCCTGTCTCCATTAGGGTCTGCCCTCCAATGACCCTATCCATGTGCTGGTGCGTGTGTACGTGGTAAGGGCGTGTGACCTCCACCCTATGGATCTGAACGGCAAGGCTGACCCCTACATCGTGGTGCAGCTCGGGGGCAAGAAAGTGTCGGACAAGGAGAACTACATCTCCAAGCAGCTCAACCCTGTCTTCGGCAAGTAAGTACGGCTGGCGCTCTTACCTGTGAGTCTGGGCGATTACCTGTGAACTTGGCTGTTTACCTGTGAAATGTGATTATTTTCCTGTGGAACCTTATTGTTTACCTGTGGAACAATAATTATATATTTGTGGAATTTCAGTGTTTACCTGTGGGACTTGATTGTTTTACCTGTGAAACGTGGGTGTTTATCCTAATTCAATATACCTTCTTCAGGTGCTTCGAGGTGGAGGCGACCTTCCCTCAGGACTCAATGTTGACGGTGCAGGTACTCGACTGGGACCTGGTGGGCTCCGACGACATGATCGGAGAAACCAAGCTCGACCTCGAGAACCGCTTCTACTCGAGACATCGCGCCACCTGCGGCCTAGCGAACAGATATGAAACGTAAGTATAGGAAAGAAGGGAGGATCAGTTTTACACGGGAAGAGGAAAATAACATATGTATATTTATGTACGACGTCTCATCTACAACAAATCGTCTTCAAACGTATTTTTTTTTATGTACATGAACTGCACGTTAGAGCACATTGAATCTTTCCTTCATGTGTTAAATATAAAGTGGAGTATATCAGGGTCTCTAAACACTAATGAAACTCTCACGCAAAATACTCCCGCTCTTGTTTACCCGCGTGCGATTTCCCACACCTTCTGTTTCACAGTATCTCTTCGACATCTCCTCCAGCAGATCGGGATATAACCAGTGGCGGGACCCCATGAAGCCGACGCAGATCCTGGCGAGGCTGTGTAAGGAGGGACGACTGGACGGCCCTCACTACGGCCCCGGTAAAGTCCGCATCGCCAGCAAGACCTTCACGGTACAGAGTGACGATGAACACGACCCTAACCGCGGCAGGTTTCTAGGTGAGTTTTGGCAGGTTCATGCATAGGTACTGACTGGTTCTTGGAGTGAGTGAGTGGTGACTGGTTCCTGGATGAGATGTGATCATATGACTGGTTTTGACATATATTTATGATAAAAAATGTTAACCAACTCATAACTAACTCATTATACCATGTCCCTGTAGTGAGTGAAGAGCAGCTGGCTCTGGCAGTGTTACACCGGTGGGAGGAGGTGCCCAGAGTCGGGGCGCGGCTGGTGCCCGAACACATCGAGACGAGGCCGATATATAACCCAGACAAGCCAGGCATCGAACAGGTGAGAACAACCGTAGCTTAAGGCAGGACTATAATTAGGATAAACCAAGCAAAAGGAAAGGCTGTAATTTAGACAAGAGGTTAAAGCAGCCTGGTTTAAGACATGGCTATAAGTGAAATAAGCTAAGCAAGCGTGCATGACAGGACTATAATCTAGTCTTTAAACAAAGCTGGAACTTAGATCACTTATAGACAGCTAACATAACACGACTCCAAGTTACCAAGTGTTTGACAAACCAAGAGCGGTTAAAGGTAGAACATGTACAGTTGAGGCCAAAATTCTCTTCACACTTTGGTAATATCTGGCATTAAAATAATTAAAGTCAATCTAATCAGAGTTTATTTATTATTATAAAGTATTTTTTTTTTACATTTTTTACATAACTTATAAAAAAGCAGCGTTTACCAATTATAAAGGAATCACATATTTGACCCCACAAGCAGATGTAACATATTGCCAAGCGTTACACATTAGTATACTACGCCCAGAATTTACCTTGACCCACAGGTCGAGGTGTGTTAAGAGCAACAAGGATACAAAGTTCTTCATATATGACTCTTGTTTCTCGTAAATTACCCAGTTTTTTCGATATTTTATGTTTTATCGAGTAATATATTTGTTGATTGTGTGAGTCAAGAGTCCAGGGTAGGTATCACATGTTGGTGTCTTCCGTGTCAGGGCAAAGTGGAGATGTGGGTGGACATGTTCCCCATGGACATGCCGCTGCCGGGGCCGCCGCTGGACGTAACGCCGCGGAAGCCCAAGAGCTACGAGCTGAGGATCGTCATCTGGAACACCGACGACGTGGTGCTGGAGGACGACGCCTTCTTCACCGGCGAGAAGATGTCCGATATCTACGTCAAGGGGTGAGTCAGCCTCCTCTTCTTCCTCCTCCTCCTATTCGGCGTCAGGAAGAATATACCTCATCCTGAATCATGTGATGTTAGATGTGTGTCGGGGGCGGGTGATCCTCCCTACTTCCTCACTGTCTTGGTCTAAGAGAGTAACTCCGGTCCTGTCAGTTGTTTACTCTAAGTGTGGACTGTTTGTAATGTTTACCTACGACTCTTACGTTTGGAATTCGTGTCACGAAGTGCTTATCATTCCCCGAGTGTCTTGTACGAGTTGTGGTGTGTGTCAGAAATAAGAAACCAGTTTAAAAGTGGTTGCTTGTCACACCCCAGCATGTTTACCCACCTGTTGACCTGGTTATTGCTTACACACCAACACTGACACTCGTCTGTTTGTCGAATCCCAGCAGCTGTTGACTTCATTGTTGTTGTGGTGGTGATGGTCACGAGTGATACACTACAAGAGAATTTTTTTTTTACGGGGATTAGCCCACCCGGACACAGGTCACTGACCCACATCGGGGCCTGGGGGGCGAAAATGTAATAATAATAATAATAATAATAATAATAATAATAATAATAATAATAATAATAATAATAATAATAATAATAATAATAATAATAATAATAATAATAATTAATAATAATAATAATAATAATAATAAATAATAGTCATAATAATTCATAATAAATAAAATTTATGATAAAACAAACAAAAATAAAATAATAAAATAATGATGATAATAATACAGTAACTGTAATAATAATAATAATTTTAATAATAAAGAACTATAAATACAAAAATGAAAAAAAAGATCAAAAGTGAGAAACGATATATGTATGTTGTGTTGTCAATGGTAAGAGAAACAATTGAGACCCTGCAATTGTGTGTAAATGAGGCAGAAAGTCAGATCAGCAACCTGGGACTTGGTCACAATTTTTGTGATGCCATATGGCAGCAGGGACTACCATTAGACAACACATTATGCTTCCAATATCTTCCCGGGCAGTAGTACCTCCCTGTTTGGTAGCTGCACGATATGAGTGATATAATTAATAATACATGTAGTGAGGCTTTAGTATCTACTGTATTTAGATGGTCTGTATTATAATTAATTCAGGTCACTTAACTCGCTAATTAATTCATGAGCTTAGGACATTTAACCCATGATGACCACTTAACCCAACTATCCCATGATGCCTCTTAACCCTGCAAACTAACCAATGATGCCTCTTAACCCTGCAAACTAACCAATGATGCCACTTAACCTAACTATCCCATGATGCCTCTTAACCCTGCAAACTAACCAATGATGCCTCTTAACCCTGCAAACTAACCCACGATGCCACTTAATCCACCTAATTAACCCATGATACCACTTAACTCACCTGTTCTCTCCCACACCAGGTCACTCGCTTGGAATATTAAAACGAAAAGTGGGCTCTGGAGGTTGGTTTCTCAAGACAAGTGAGACACAACAATACACACGTCCTTATTCTTTCTCACGTTTCCTTCCTTCCTTCCTTCCCGTTTCCTTATTCTTCCTTCTTACACTCCTCCTTTTCTTCCTCTTCCTCCTCCTCTTCCTCCTGCACACCACTGCCACACCGAAGTTCCTTAAAAAAATACCTTTAGTTAACTATTTCCCTTCGAGCTGAGTGAGGGATGGAGGGAGGAAGGGGTAATGTGAGAACGCAATAGTCGCTCTCTCTCTCTCTCTCTCTCACAGCTACTGATTGACTTAGCTTATATGCAGGAAGTTAATGCGTTCTAATGGGTTTTAATGCGTTCTAATGGGTTTTAATGCGTTCTAATGGGTTCTAACACCTCCCCTCCTCTCCCCCTTCCCCTTCAAGAGTGAAAGTTAACGTAGGATTGTATGAAACTTCATTAGACTCATTTGTTATAAGCACAAATTCTGTCTCTCTCTCTCTCTCTCTCTCTCTCTTTCTCTCTCTCTCTCTCTCTCTCTCTCTCTCTCTCTCTCCTGTGTGACGTTTGAATGACAGGTTTCATTAAAGGGATCAATTTCTATTTATTTGCGATTTATTTTTGATGTGGTGTGCCCTGTTTCTTCTCGTCCGTGTGTGTCCGTGTTATTTCTCGTCCGTGTTATTTCTCGTCCGTGTGTATCCGTGTTATTTCTCGTCCGTGTGTATCCGTGTTATTTCTCGTCCGTGTGTATCCGTGTTATTTCTCGTCTGTGTGTGTCCGTGTTTTTCTCGTTTGCTTCTCTCGTCCGTGAGTTGTGTTTCTTCATCAATCTTATGCTTCGTCTAATCGTTTAACTATCTTCTGTACGCTTATTGTCTATCTCATGTACGTTTATTATCTATCTCATGTACGTTGCTCTCACCACACTGGTCCTCCACGAGTTAATGTTGACGCTGTCGAGATTAACTGTTACCTTCACGCTGTGATTCCGGGACTCACTAATCCCTGAACTAGGACTCGGAACTTAACCTAACCTATCGCTAAACTAACCTAACCTATCGGTAAACTAACCTGACTTAACCTGAGCTAACCTACCCTAATCTAACCTAACTTTAACCTGAGCTAACCTAACCCTGACCTGAGCTAACCTAACCCTAACCTGAGCTAACCTAACCTAACCTAACCTAACCTAACCTTTCATCTCACTTAACTTCGTGTTGTCTAACATTATAAATAATCGGGTCCGGTTCCGTGTTCGGGTATCCGGCGCTTAACTATTTCCTCCTTGACAACTCGCACGTATTATCATCACTAACTCTAATACCCTAATATCTATAGTTACCTGTACACCTATAGCACTTGCACACCTAGAGTATACCTGTACACCTATAGCAACTGGACACATCTTAGCCATTGGTGGTAATTTCGCGTTTATGTGATGTGCATTTATTTGTTCTCGTCGCCACAGCTGCACAATACGACCCTAGATGTTGTTGGTCAATTTCACGTTATGATTTTTCTTAATGTGATAGATGCAGCTTTTTGTCGTGAAGTGTAGCACAAGTACAAACACCTCCAGCCATATTATGCCTCCCAACACCTACCTCTAGCCATATTATGCCTCCCAACACCTACCTCCAGCCGTATTATACCTCCCAACACCTACCTCCAGCCATAATATACCTCCCAACACCTACCTCCAGCCATATTATGCCTCCCAACACCTACCTCCAGCCATAATATACCTCCCAACACCTACCTCCAGCCATATTATGCCTCCCAACGCGTCTCATGAACACTCAAACACCTCCCCTGTGCGTTTCTCTCCTTAGGTGGTTGAAGGGCCCAGAGGACACCCAGTGCACGGACATCCACTACCGCTCGCTCACGGGGGAGGGCAACTTCAACTGGCGGTTCGTCTTCCCCTTCGAGTACCTGGTGGCCGAGGAGAAGATCGTCATTAGCCGTAAGGAGTCCCTCTTCTCCTGGGACGAGACCGAGTGTAAGATCCCCGCCAGGCTGGAGCTACAGGTGAGTGAGCTAAAGAGAGGGAAGTGGGCTGAGGGATGAAGTGGGCTGATGGGGGTAAGTGGGCTGAGGGGGAAGTGGGCTGAGGGGGAAGTGGACTGAGGGGGGAAGTAGACTGAGGGGGAAAGTAGGCTGAGGAGAGGGAATTGACCTGAAAGTGGAGTGAGGGGGGGCTTAGAAAATGTAGACTTGTGGGAGGGGTCAGATGAGTGACCAAAGTGGGAAATTAAATGGGTTAGTTGTATGACCTGAGATGAGAGGGGCGTGAGAGGGGCTAGGTGTATTAGCTGAGAGGGGGTTACGGATGTGAACTGAGTGGGGAGTGAAATAAGTATAGCCTTAACCATCACCACCTCTTAATCATCAGGTGTGGGACGCGGATCACTTCTCAGCAGATGACTTCCTCGGAGCCATCACGCTGGACTTGAATAGATTCCCTCGAGGCGCCAAGAACTCCAAGATGTGTACCTTAAACATGCTCAAAACGGATGGCACTGTACCCATGGTGAACATCTTCAAGCAGCGGAGAGTCAAGGGGTGGTGGCCATTCTACATCAAGAAAGAGAACGAGGAGATGGAACTTACGGTAAGGAAGATGGACACCCTCCTCCCCGTCGCTCTCTCTGACTCCTTCTTTCTCTTGTTGCGTATGACATATTTTAAGTGCTGTTACATATGTGTCTCCTAGTTCTTACATGTGTTGACCTGATGTGCTTCTATTGTGCAGGGTAAAGTTGAGGCAGAGATCCACCTGCTGACGAAAGACGAAGCGGAAAAGATCCCAGCCGGCCTCGGCAGAAGCGAACCCGACCCGCTGGAGAAGCCTAAGTGAGTTACCCTTCAGTTAATCTTCGTTTTCTGTGATACATTTTGGAAAGGAGCCTTAGGTTTCCTTTTATCTCTCTCTCTCTCTCTCTCACACCATTGATCTTCACCATAAACCTGAGAAGTAATGTATTTTAGCAAGATATAGATGACAATATAACCCTCAGATATGATTTAGGTATGGAGGACAGGCTTTGGGTAGTCAGTATAATGCAGCAAGAAATATTTCCAGCATAAGGCAGCAGATGCAATATATTCCCTATGGTGACGGTGGCATAGGATGGCGTCTTACTCACTCGTGATCCTCCTCTCCCTCCTACAGCCGGCCGGACGCCTCCTTCATGTGGTTCCTCAACCCGCTAAAGAGCATCCGTTACATCATCTGGCACAACTACAAGTGGGCCATCATCAAACTCCTCGTCTTCTTCGCTCTCACTATCTTCTTTGTCCTCTTCTTCTACTCAGTGCCGGGCTTCACCGTCAAAAAGATCTTGGGGGCGTAATACAGGACCCAAACGCCACCTTATCCTGAGGTCCTGCAGGATGGGAGGAGTAGCCAAAGAGCCTCTAAGACTCAGTTGTTATCTCCTCCATATTTTCCGTCAACCTCCTACAGATATTTACCGTCAGGGAGATCCTATGAACATTATACGGGACCTAGAATGTTCCATCCTGACCTGCTGGAGACGTGGACGGGCCATAGTGCCTCTGAACTCTATTGCCGTCTTCGTTATTTCTCTCTACTCCCCGCAGAGCTTCACCACCAGGAAGATCTCGGGGACTTAATACAAGGCACTTGAGTAGGATATCCCGTCCTTAGGATCCTTCACTGACCCAACAGGACGGTGATCAGTGAGCTCTACACCGTAAATTCGGTTTATGCTGGAACATTACGCCAAGGCGCTGAGAATTCCATATACTGAAACAATGTGTCTAGCAGTGACTGACCCATTATCTGGACGGTGACCACTGACTATAAGGGTCTGGTGAAGCTGTCCATGGTAGAGATGTGGTGAATATGACATAAATATATTCAGGAGTTCAGTGAGGACACATTTACGTAACTCATCTGTCTGTGTGAATTATTGTGAATTCGTCTCAGACGTTCAGCCGTGATATTATGATAAATTTGTGTGTTGTAGTTTAAGGTTCTCATCCAGACGATATATTTCTCTATCTCCTCCCTGGCTGCGGCGTCACCTGCAGGTGGGGAGTCACCTTGTATCACCACCTAGTACCACCCGCCCCTCCTGACCCACCATATGTGTCCTGAATACTCAGAGGTCAGTCTGTCCTCAAAGTCGTAACAACTAAAAAAGTAAATACCAATATCTTAACCCAACTCATCTTGCTTGATACGTCGAAAAGCTAAAATTGAGATAGTTTAGGACGGTTGACAGCTAACAGATAAGAGGCGCGAGGAGAAGACTCTATGATTGGCTGACTGAGCTGAGGTTGATTTGTCATTATCGATCACGGAACGATCATATACTAAACTCCTCAAACTTCATCTTCTATAAAGTCCTCAGTGGCCTCCAATATTTACTATGCACTCTGCTATAACAGACTTAAACCCTTAGAAAATTAATCAATCAATCAATCAACGCATCCATATTTTTTTTCTAGGACAGTATCGCTAATGGGGACACACTACGGGTGGGTCGACTCTCCTGTATGCAAATTATAATATAACGAGAGACAGATGTGGTGTGGAGGCAGTGTTATGTACGACGCGGTGTATCTCTGCTGAGAGATAATGGTGAGGGTGAGGGTGTATCCTGATCCACAACACCCACGGAGCTGAGTCGCCATACTCCACACACTTCATCATCTCTCATGAAACCAAAATCAAGATAATATATATATATATATATATATATATATATATATATATATATATATATATATATATATATATATATATATATATAAACTCTGTAAAAATCACTGTTTAGCTTCATTACTGAGATGTTATTTTGACTTGCCAATTCATTTTCTTTAATATATTTTTCGTTTCAGTTCACGTTTCTCTGAATGAACTTGTCATAAATAATTATATTCCACTGTGAATTAATATTGTAAGATATTTGTTATTATAAGGATTACGGACCAAATATTCCATAATGTTGCCTTTATATATCTTCTATGTCACATTGTGAAAGAAAAAACTCGGTAATATTCAAATTTGTGTATTTTCCCTCCAAAGAGGAGTAGGGTGAACAGCGCCTCTGGTGACGGTGAGCCGAAGCTGTCCGTCATCACCCCCAGGCTGGCCTTCCTTTCAGAGTTTCCATTCTGGTTATTACATATAAAAAAACACTTCACTGTTATTCTCACTGTAGAAGAAATTTAATCACTGACTTTAGAGTCAGATCTGTTGTTATTGTAGCTTACACACTTTTGATAACATGGACGAGGAAACATTGTCGGCTCGACAGTGTTCAGGTGTGATCATCAGTTCGTGGAGACCAATAAAATAGTGCATCTTTGAGGTATGTGTCGAGAGTTTGATAAAATGATGTAAGTGGCTCATTTTATTAATATCGGTGGCTTATATGACGGGTATTGTAGCACAGGTGATTAAAGGTTCATAATAAAGGGCTCAAAGGTGACACTACTGTATATTGTTTTATGGACCTATATGTGTACAGAGACAGTATTAGTGTGTCAGCGTACAGGAGATGTTGTGTCTATATTTATATGTACAGGAGGTATTAACTATGCCATGCTACCTGTGAACCTTCAAGGTGGCCCCAAAATAATGTTTCCTTGAGTTGGGGAGATGTGCCATGTGCGTCTCCCAAACACAGCTGAATTTTTGTTCTGTACATTGTTTAGTGATCAACTTGAAGATTCACATTTGACATGGTACACTGTTACTGTCTCCTGTACACACAGAGGTGAAAAAAAAAGAGATAGTTTCACTTTGAACTCTTTAAATGACATCTTGGCAACAGGTAAACAGAGGAGGTGACCTACTCCAGTAATACCTGGCTATCGTTTATCAATATTTATATTGGATAAAAATTTTTACTAATAACGATGAGGAAACGTACTAGATTAAATTAGTCAGACGTGTTTCCTGGGTTAATGATGAAGAAAAAATATACAGTATTAAGAGGCCAGGCCAAGACGCCACCGGCCGAGAGGAGTCTGTAAAATCAAGTATCTCGACACACCTGAACCAGGGGTCCAGAATGTGTTCTTGTTGAAGGTTCATCCCTCGCGCCACCTGTAGCTTCGGCGATCACTCCTTTAAGCGTTCAGTAGATAGAGATATTCTTACATCAGGGTATTAAGAGTCTACTCCCCGTACCAGAGCAAGAGCGCCACCGCAGGCACAAGGTTGGCGAACGTTAAAGGCGTATTGACAAAAAAGCGTCAGGCTGCGCCACGTGTAAAGGCGGCGTCACTATAGCATTTTTTCCGTCATTTTGTTGCATCAATGTTCTGTGCGAACTCTGTCACACATGCATAGAGCGCGCCAGTACAGTCTGTCCGCGTTCGTCGATTGTAAACAAAGAAAATGACATTGTATGACTTCCTTTCATATCTTACTGTATCAATCTTCCCTTGGGTCTCACATGGCAACGATGAGACCTAATATTGTCTATCATGTATTCTAGGGACAAGCTAGGCGTGTCCACACAGGAATAGATAGACAAACAGCAGATATATTTACGAATATCAACATTAATAAAAAAGACTTCAATATATTTTATTAAAAATGAGATGCTGAATAAGTTTAAAATTATATGTATTTATTTCACGTGGTTTGATATTTATTTTATATAAATATCCTCATTGTTAAGTATAGATCTTGACTTGGCCGCAGAAATTGGCCCAAGCCAGTCAGGTGGAAATGATGCGTTTCGACTGAGTGAGACGGGCTCGAAAAATTGGCAATTTGTGGAAAAAAACGATGGGAACCGGGAAAGTTGACAGAAAAAGATGCAAGTTTGACGCCGTCTATAGAGTGGGAGAGAAGGGTCAATGGAAAACTGTTGTTCGCTCGTGCTGGCGCTATGTTCTCTGTGGTACGGGTCTAGGGCATCAAAGAAGGTATTTTTGTAGCGATGATTCTATTGTTCCTACACAGCCTCACACTGTAACTTAGTTTGTTAACGTCCTAGTTCATGATTAGCTCGAAACACAATTGTTTATAATGAGTTTGTTCGTCCCTGGGTTGCCCTCGTTCACGGAGCTCGTAGTTCATCACCCGTTCACAGCGTCGTCACCTTCAGCGTGGTGTGGAGACGCTATTAGTGGGTTGTGGTCACGTTTTAACATTGTTGTCGGTGGCTCCTTAACTGACGACTCGTGAGGATTGTGAATGTTAAACTTGGTACTGAGAAAAGTGTTTATCGTTCTGACAACCAAAACAAAGGGAGGGTTAACTCGTAAGGTGGGTTAGGTTTGAAATAATATAACATTCTAACCTAACTAAACTTAAATGACCTAACGTAACCAAATCTAACCAAACGTAAACCGACTTAACCAAACCTAAATTAGACATTGTTTAGTTAGAAACATAGAAGCTTACTTCATTATTCTTGTTTTCATTCTGGTTCCTCAAGGTGCCGTCAGCTACAGGGTTTATCATTAATATCTTCTGATTTATCCTTGAAAATAAAAAAAAATTGTTCCATGTTATGTAAACCTGACTTGTCTTTCGTCTGAATAATTACCACAGTTTACTTCAATCTTGTTTTATGACACCAAAACCCTTTATCGTTAATCTGCTTATAGTTACCCAAATTTAACTCTGACCATTTAAACAAAGTCCAGAATTCAGTCTTTTTTTCTTTCTACGTCTCTCCGTGGGTAATTCATCAACATGTAAATAGTATAATTAGACTGATAAATATGTCGTTTCTTGTAGTGACGTATTGCAATATTTCTTCACTGTTAACAATATTTACCTGTAATTAACCATACGCGCGTGTGTGTGTGTGTGTGTGTGTTTTGTCTCATGTATACATATCATGTGTACCACTAAATGTTTCTTTTTTAAACATGAATATTGATGCAATGTTTCATAGCCAAGAGATCAAGGGTGATATGAAGTCCTTGTTCAGTGGGACTGGTGCCCCTTGTTATTTAGGATCTCTATTCCCTGAGTCCCCCTCCCCCCCCCTAGATACGTAGATTCAGTGGGACTGGTGCCCCTTTTATTGTTATTTAGTGTCTTTGGATCCCTTGAATTCTCTTAGATACATTAATTCACTGGAAATCATGACTTTTTCCTATCTATTTTTCCTGTTTTTCATAATGACCCTAGAAAATTTAGCAGGATTTGTCCCCTAGTATGTCCACCGGTACTGATTTATGCTTGGCCTGAGGATGCGGTGGGACTGGTGCCCCAGAACTGTCGAACTGCTGTTTTACCATTTACCCTCATTATTTCACCTTAATCTTGTAGGTTCAGTGGAACTAAATCCTTCTGCTTGAAATGGGTTCCCCCCCCCCCTTAAATAACAAAATATACCATCTGGTGTGAGATATTTTTCCCTAAATTGCAAAATTACCCGCTCGATATAAATAATTTTATTTTTCCCTAGCTAAAAGTCTGAATTGTTTTCCTTAAATAGTCCAGTTTCCCACCTGATATGAGTAAATTTTCCCTAGACTTATACAAACAGAATGACATAAGAGACAAACAAGTGTCGAATGATTTGTCATCGGTTGCGTTAGTAGCTGATGACAAACCAGGGGTGCAGAGAGGAACCCACGATGTGACCGGGCCGGGTGTGAGAGAATCAGATGGAAGGCAGCAGAAAACGAACGAGTTGAGGTGTGGGGAAAAAACTCATGCAGCACAGGCCCTACGAGATTTTTTTTATCTCCTTTGGTTAGTCAGTTATTCCGTCAGTCATGAAGTGCATTGACTGAGCTAACTAACGCAGGTAAAAATATGTTAATTATTCACATTGGGGGATAATTAACAATGAAAGATTATTACAGAAAATGCTTTTAAAATTTCCATAGGCTTTTATCAGGCACTAAAATAAAGGTAAAGTTAACCAGGAAAAAGCCATTGGTAAGAATTTTCCATCAGTCGGGTCAAGAAAGTTTAAGAAATCGAATTGACGAAACACGATATAGAAACAAATGGGTGAAGTGTCATTGAAGTTTTATCTGGATTATTAAAATTTCTGGTACAGTAGTTATAATGCGCGGGTCTTCATCATCACCCCATACAGCACAGTACAGTTAGTGTTCAGTCCACTCACCCTACACCACCACCTCCCTCACACCTCCTAAGACTCGCTTCACTCTATTAAGTCAACAAAAATTACATCTTCGTGGGATCCTAAGTAGGGTAAAAAAAAAAAAAAGGTTTGGATTCTCAGAGATTCTAATGTTAAATTTTGTTTTAGTGTATTTTGAACACTATCTTTTGTTTGTTTGTTTTGTTGTTTAAGTGATCTAATTAATCAAATGCTTTCTTAAGAGGAAATATCAGTCAAACTTTTGGAAATACTTAATTCCAAAAGTATCTTAAGTTAAATCCCCCTAAGCTACAAAAGGAGACGAAAAATGGGGATTGAAAATGAAAATCAAATTGGTTGTTTTCCGGTGCTCAATTAAGAGAGATTGGCCTAAAAATTTACCTTGGGAACCTTTGGGAATCTCTAACCTTAGTACCTGTAAATAGTGTACAAAGACCAATTACTAAGCACACACTCATCAAAAAATTGACATGTACTGTATAGTGATTTTATTATTATTAGTTTTGAGAACACTGTCATTGCGTTCTCGGGGGCACTTAATTAGCATTCTTGAGATCTGTAAGCAGCGTTCTCGAGAGATCTTTACTGGCGTTCTCAAAGGGTGTGGTGCCCATGAGCCCGCTGTGTTGCCGGTGTTGAGGAGGGAGTGTGGAGATTCCTGCACAACATTACTTCAAAGATTATACAATAAATACCCGCTGTAAGACGCCTCGTGTTTTCTTTATCCCTTCTTACTTCATAGATGGATAGATAAGAGAGAAAAACATTTCCTCCTCGTCGCTTTTTGGCTGGAAGAGGAATGGATAGAGAGATGTGCCACACATACTCGAGTATAATTTAAGACAATACGATTCTCCAAGCAAAAGAAGATAGAGAGAAATGCAACACAGACTTGAATATACTTAGACCATGGACAGCAAAAATATTTTTAGCCCAATAGATAGATAGATACATACATACATACATACATACATACATACATACATAGATAGATAGATAGATAAAAGCGGAAATAGACAGACAACATAAGAACTTGAATATAATTTGGAGGACTAGGAGTAAATTAATACTTTCCACATAGTACATACATACATATACAGTATAATGGTTTCCTCTCGTGTTCGAAGATAGCTGACCCTAGGGCCACCTAGGCTTGACTTTATATCATGTGTAAAAGTTGTCACCAACACATTATCCACACTATAGGCGGTTATTGTAAAGCGTTTCAGATGCACGGAATAGCTAACGCGTTAGCCATTCCGTATGCGCGGACGCTGCTTTTGATTTGTGCTCTTGGCACATTCAAAGGGAAAAGCTAACACCTCGATGAGGCGTTAGCCTTAAGCGGCCCAACTAGCCTACAACCAATTAGCGATTTCTCGCACAAACTAAGTGATTCATGGCCGCTTATGGAGAATATTTTGATTAATATTGAAGAGTTGGGGGTGTGTAAGGCAATATAAAACTGTAATATAATAATAAAAATAATTCTACATATGGTAGTATATTGGATAGGACCTAAAGCAAAGCGTATGGCGTGAAAAATTGAAAAGGATCGCTTCTGGTTGAAACCTGCTCCTGCTCCGCCCTTATTAATTGGGCGCTGTCCGATTTCATTAGCCATTAGTGACTTTGGTGTAACAATATTGATAATTACTCAAAGATGATTGAAACATTAATATCATTACTCGTAAGATACTATAAATAAGGGTGAACAAGTTGATTACAGTTCTGTAAGTGCAAGAATTAAGACTTAAAGTAACGAACCTGAAATTCGTCGTATTTCTTCCACAAATATGCGAACCTAGCCGCAAGAGATGTCTGAGAGAAATTACCTTCGCAACGGGCCCGATTTTTTTTTATTATTATTGTTGACTGATGGACTTTTTTCCTTTTTTGTCATTCTTTCCATAATTATATATATATATATATATATATATACAATTTTTTTTCTTCACTATTCCTTTCCGTATTGTGTCCAAATAACAGTTCTCCTAATTGTTTTGTTTTCTGAAGACTGTGTTGTACAACAGTTATTCCCAAGACGCGGTACAGTGTCGAATTTGTTAATGACAGCCCGGGATAGCTAACGTGTTAGCTATTCCGTGCATCTTAAAACGCCTTGCAGTAAACGCTTTAAGTTAACGAGCTGTATGATCCAGTGTCAAAGAATAATTCAGGAAGACCGGACAACTCGCCAACTGCTCTGGCTAACCATTAACCCCGGAACACAATCTAACCCTTAAATGAGATAAGGACAGGTTAGGATAGTTTAGATTATGTTAAGTTAGGTTAGATTGGAATAGATAAGTTTGGGTTAGGCTAGGTTAAGTTTTAAAGTAGAGTGGGCAAATAAATTATTCCTTAATCATAAAGGGTACCTGGAGGAAGTCTATAATAATGAAAGGACGTGTGTGTCCCATTCATAGCTCCATAACTGAAGCAGTTAGAGATGTGAAACCTTGCACACACATCACATGGGTGCCAAGGATGTGCACCTTGGTATTGGTATTGACCACAGACCTCCGGGTGGTCCGTGTAAGAACTAAAAAATCTTCCCCCACTGAGATGTCACCACGGCTATTGTGGGAGGTGGTTACCCGTGTCAGGGAAGGGTAAACTGTGACAGTCAGGGTTATACACAAAATACCTAACCCGCGCGAAGCCGAATGATTTTGCTAGTATTAAGTAAAGGATTAAAACAATAATACATCTCCAAACTAGTATGTTTTCAGAGCGAGAGACAGAATCATTAGAAAGGAAAGAGCGTTAAGGAGAAAGAGAGCGTGAGAGAAAAAGAAGCCCTAAGAGAAAGCATTGGAGAGAGAAAAAGGTGTGGGAAAAGATAGAGAGAGAGAGAGAGAGAGAGGGGGGTGGTGGGGAGAGAGGCCGTGTGTTAGATGGTGGTGCCATTGACTTGAGCATGGCACTCTGGCCTGAGGAGCGGCAGTGGCAACAGGTAGGCGGTGCTCCACCCACACCTTCACCCATTGTCACCCAAGCCGTCACTCATTCCATCACCCACACCATCACCCACGCCCATCACCCACACCATCACCCACGCCCATCACCCATTCCATTCCCCATCCCAACACCCACGCCTTCGCCCATTCCACCACCCATTGGCACCCAAGCCGTCACTCATTCCAAAACCCACACCATCACCCACACCATCACTCACACTATCACCCACGCCGTCACCCATTCCATTACCTACGCCGTCACCCACGCCTTCACCCGCCGTCACTCATACCGTCACCCACGCCGTCACACACACCGTCACCCACGCCGTCACCCATACGATCACCCATGCATTCACCCACACCATCACCCACGCCGTCACCCACACCGTCACCCACACCGTCACACACACCGTCACCCACGCCGTCACCCATACGATCACCCATGCATTCACCCACACCATCACCCACGCCGTCACCCACACACCGTCACCCACGCCGTCACCCATACGATCACCCATGCATTCACCCATTCCATCACTCACGCCGTCACCCACGACTTCACCCATTCCTTCACACATTCCATTACCCATGCCTTCACCCCTACCGTCATCCACACCGTCACCCACGCCGTCACCCACGCCTTCATCCATACGATCACCCACACCATCACCCACACCATCACCCATTCCATCACCCACGCCATCACCCACACCGTCACCCACGCCGTCACCCACACCATCACCCACACCATCACCCACGCTTTCACCCACGCCTTCACCCATTTTGTCACCCATGCCGCAACCCCACACCGTCACCCACGCCGTCACCCACGCCTTCATCCATACGATCACCCACACCGTCACCCACACCATCACCCATTCCATCACCCACGCCATCACCCACACCACCATCTACGTCATACTAGTTCTGTGGTGTGACGTCATACTAGTGCTGTAGTGTGACGTCATACTAGTTCTGTAGTGAGACGTCATACTAGTGCTGTGGTGTGACGTCATACTAGTTCTGTAGTGTGACGTCATACTAGTTCTGTAGTGTGACGTCAAAATAGTTCTGTAGTGTGACGTAATACTAGTGCTGTGGTGTGACGTTCTATTGGTCTTATCTTGTGACGTCATTCACTGTATTATCAAGGTTTACGGCTGTACGTTAAACCTTTGGAGATAATTGTCCTTTAAACACGACGGTCTAGCCTCTGAGGACGATGTTTAACGTTATCGTCTTGCAGTAGTAACAGGGAAGACTACCCTTGGTGAGGCGAGGT